TTTTATTTTTATTTTTATTTTTTTATTCCCTTTTTTTCTTTTTTTTTTCTTTTTTTTATTTCTCTTGTTCACTTGATAACCAACTCAAGCAGATAATATCCTACTTTGTTATTAGTAAAGTCTGCTAATTCTAAAGGAGGAATTGGCTATGTCTTCTTTACTATTAAATAAAAATTTAGCACACTATTAACAATTTTTTCTTTCTTATAATAGGTAAATGAAGAGATTTACAATTACTGGTAAAATGAAGAAATTTTTTAGAGTTTTTGAAAAAGAGTGCGTATTAAATATTAAAAATGTGAAATTTTTTTTTTTTTTTGATATTTATATAAAAGAAATTACATAAAATTGAAATACCGCAATTTACCGTAATTTTCATCTTTAAAAAAAAAAAAAACCAACAACATATCACGTCCTAAATATTATATTAAGGAATAAGGATCGTCAAAAAAATTATATATCATATATATATATTTTTTAATTTTTGATTTTGAAATAAACATATAACTTAATAATTATACTAAATATAAATATGATCATCTTCATAAGTCGGGCCGGAATCAAATATTTCATCACGTGCTCAAAATAATAATTTTATGCAAATTTTATAACAATTTGTTATGATTCTAATTTTATTAACAATTTATCTAATTCTTCAATTATAATGTTTTGGAAAGATATACTGTATATTAAATATAACCCAACTTTCCAGGTATAAGTACATCAATTTTATAAGTATTTCATATAGTCAAATAATTAATTAGTCAAATAATATACTAATCAAAAAATACATGATATATAAAGAAATCAGAATGGGTCTTGCTCAGATTTTTAAAGTATTAAATAATAAATAATTATACATTTTAATTTTAACCATATTTAAGTTTATAAAGTAACTATTAATATTTAAGAATTAAAATTTATAAAGTAAATATATTTTTTTTTTTGCCATTAATGTTTGATTTGATAGAAATTATACAGTACATTAGACGCGTAAAAAGTAATAATTAACATATAATTAAATAGTTCTTTAGTATTTTTAAATATAGTATAACTATAAAGAAATGGTTTACAAAAGTATTTCTAAATGAACTAAAGCTTTACAATAAAAACTTCTAAAAAAAATGTCTATATATAGTAAACAGTATTATATATTATAAGACTATTATAAACGTTACCAAGTTCTTTTATTAAGTTGACGCCAGTAATCAATAAAATTTCTATTTGCCCATTTGCAAAAAAAAAAACCTATTCGCAATTTCATATGTCCCAAGTTCGTAGCTTTCTAAACATATAAATTTTACTCCTTTGCGTTAAGTATGTATTACAAAAGTTTATATTGTACAAAAAATTTTAGTTCCGATTAGCCAATAGGATTACGAGAGTCAGATATTTTGCGTGCATACAAAAAATTTATTGCAACATAATCTCGGCGCAGTAGTCAGCGATATTAGGTTGAAAGTCATAACTTGAAGCACAGTAAAATGGTAAATATTAATGGAATTAAATTTTTTAAATAAAGAAATTAGTTAGTTTAACTCGTACTGTGCGGGAGCAATCTCACATGATCTATCTTTGTTACTGCTAGGAAACTTAAAAGAGCCGATTTAGGCATCAAATTTTTACTGATTCATTTCATTTTTTTTTACTGATTCATTACATTTCTTTTTATACTGACTCATTACATTTTTTTTTTTACTGATTCAATTTTTTTTACTGATCATTACATTTTTTCTTTACTGACTAAATACATTTTTTTTTACTGATTCATTAATTATAAATTTCTTTCTATAAAAAGATATTTAACTCTACGATTTCGCATTTATTTTTCTTATTGAAAAAACTAACGGATTATTTTATCTTTTTCCTTAATCTACATTTTTATGATTCCCAGGAAAAAAAGGTAAGTAACACGTGATGACGTGACATTCACCAACTGATTGCCTGATTTTTGCACCAACAATAGTTTTTCTGCTTGGTTGGACCACCCACCTAAAAAATGGATAAAAAAAATCGTAAAAGACTTTTTGAAACCCCTGAGGTAGATATCTAGATATAATTTTATAGAGAGAAAAGGAATTCGTTTTTTTTAACAATCCTATTTTCCGCAGCACTGTACCGACAAAAGTAACGGAAGCAAATGGCGAGAAAGTAATAGAAATTATTACCGAGGGAAAGCTTGTGCATTGCGGCCCTTATCCGCCAGTATATGTTTATACAAGCGCAGACGTGCTTTGTCTTTTGTGGAGTTTTTATACCAAGCTTCCAATCAGAAAAGCAACTGTCGTGAAACAAAGGGAATACTTAATTCGGAAACTGAAAGTCTTGCAGAAACAATTCAAGAAGCTAGAAAGAAGAAAGGAATTCCGTCCATGTATGTTAAACCTAACCCACACGATCAAAAACAACGAAATAAAAAGTTTCATGGCCGGAGCTTCCGTCGCGTTATCACCCTCGAAACCACCAAATATAACGAGATTAAATGTAAAAGAAATAAAAGCGAAGGTAGCAGATATGAGGTCAGAGAATATGATGATATTTCAAGGGGTAAATCGTGCCCTAACAGCGCAAGAACAGGATCAATGCAAGCACCCGTGGGGAAATTGTGCGGAATCGGTGCCGTGGGAAGCGATGAAGGGACAAAATGGACATCATGTCGATTTGTACAGCCATGCTATAGAATTAGAAAAAATGAAATCCAGAGATCTTTGCATAATGTGTCAGAGGGTAGCACACTCATTGAGTCTCAAGGGTGTTGCAACAATTCATCCATGGTAATCGAGATTATTACGAGTGAATCCAACTGTCACCAACTTGCAGTTTCTGTTAATCAAGGGCCCTGTGAAGTATCAAGTCTTATGAATACAAAAAATCTTGGCTTTAACTATATCATACTTGTTGGGAAGCGAGAGTTTGTAATAATTTTTTTAGATTTTTATGGTCGAGTTTTTGAATTAGACAAGATGTCTGATGGGCCACTTGGGAACTATTTGGAAGAGGTGACAACAAAACCCTGGACTGGCGAGGTGGCATGGGATATTGATGACGATGGAGTTATTTTTGAATTCGAGTATTGTATGTGTACAAATCTTGTTTATTTTTTTAACATAATTTTGTATAACTAATCTTCTCTCTTTCAGATACTGAAGCTGAACGTGATTTTATACGTCAGGATTATCCCGAAATCCCGGAAACTTGAGGAAAAGCAAGAAAAGCAAGAAAAACAGCACGATTTTTTAATTTCATAAACTTCTATGATCCCAATTTTACATATTTTTTTTCTCTATCATTGGCTTTCACGATTTTATGTAAAATACATCTTTTCACTTCCCACGCAATATCACTTTTAGTATCTACTTTACAAATAAGTTACAATTTGCAGATCTCTAGCTTATGCTAAATTTTTCACTATCTTTGCGCATGCGAATAATGTTTCTATTTAAATCAATTTCTGTATCTAAAATTTGATTACCTCCAAAAAAAAGATTCGATATAATGAACACATTTACAAAATTGGCACATAAACAATAATTTATTTTTTTTGGTGCACTGCAACTTTATCAATTTTTCAGGTCATTGATCACGGCTGAACTCGTAGTAAAAGAACCATGAACAAGAACTATAATAACGGATTTTCTCAATCATTTCAAGTATTACGTTATTTCGTTGTTTTTTGCACAGAAAAATGTTTTTACTGTTCGGGTATTTTTTTTTTTATAATGTAAAAATTGATTTTTATACTCAAACGTTTTACATAAATATCAAGAGATCGTGACCCCGGAATCATCATCCCGTCAATCTTGATAGGTCTGCGGTATACTTCTTGATATATTTCGTTGTGAAACCTAATTATGCAATTTTCTTGATAGATTTCGTTGTGAAACTTAAATATGCAATTTTCTTGATAGATTAAAAGCGTAACACAAAATTTGGTACATTTCTTGATAGATTAAATTTTTTTCTCGAACTTATACTCTTTATTTTTTTTTTTGTTTTTTACAAAATATTCTATTTTGTTTCTTGAAATAATCTTTTTCTATATCTTTTATACACAACCTTTTAAAATTAATATCTTTCAAACCTATTTTTTCTTATATTTTTTTTACGTGATTTTCTTCGTAACTTCTGAAATCACGTGACCGATTAACTGTGTAAATTTCCCATATTTCCATGTTTTTTACGCAGTTTTTACAATTTTTACACTAAAAATGCAAGACTATTTATCAAACATACAATATAATAATGATGCAGAAAACTCAGTAAATGTACCATTTGGACGAATTTCAGAATGGTACTTGGCAAACCACCCTTTATTGAAGGATAGACGTTTAAAATGCTTAAGTAGATTATATACTTCAGGCCTTGTAAAAGAAGGAATTATTAATGTTCAAAGGGTTAAAGGAGCTGTAGATTTTGCTGAATGGACAACTAGAACTAATGAAACGAAATCTACAAACAGAATAGATGATGTATTAACATTAACATCAAAAGGGAATGAACTTCTAAAACAAATAAATCTAAAAAAAAAGGATAAATTATGTTGGTCATGGATTATGTATTGTGCTGGTAATGGCAATACCTGTCAAAGAGCTTGTGGAGGGATCGGAAATTGCAAGAAAGGCTGTATAAATTCTCAATTTCTAATGGACTTAAAAATTACAATGATATGCATTTGTGCAATGTACGAGTTAAAAGTGAAGTTCGTATTACTTCTCTTACTAAATCGCATCCTTTAAAAATAACCATTCAAGGAAATCATGTACCACAAAGTATGTTGCTTAATTCTACACCAAAAGTTCAAAGATTTAATTTTCTGCGAAATGTTAGAAATAAAATTCTTATCAGTAGAAGAGCTGACTATATGAGTACAAAAGAAATAAAAGCTAAACTTTTAGTATCAATCAATGGTGCTGATGAAAATACTCTTTTTAATGCATTAAATAGTCAAAAAGTTATTTGTACAAATGATAAATTGAAACAATTAATTGCCCATGATGATAAAAGATTTAAAGACAATGCTGGTCTTTGGACCATTCTACATTCTTATAACTGAAATACTAAAATAAAAGGGTATATTTTACATTATTAACAACCAAACCTATCTTTTTCAGAAGATTCTCCTCAAAGATTCTATCAATTAACATTATCAGATGAATTTTTTAAAGAATGCACGAGACTATGGATAAGTTTGCATAGGGATTGATGGCAAGTATGATTTAAATCTTGACCATGCACCAATTTTATCTATTATAGCAAAGAATAATGCTGGTTTTGCTACTCCAATTGCATTTGGTATGTAATAATATAATACATCTATTAATCTGTATATTTAATTTAAAATTCAAAATATTTTTATTTTATTTAATTTAGGCATGAGTAATAAAGAAAATAATCATACAATTAGATTGGCAATTTCATCAATAAAGAATAACCATGTAACCGAGTTGATTGTGATCATACATGGTACAGTGACACCTCTCTAAGTGCACCCTCCTTGGGACCATAGTAAAAAAATAGTAGAATGTGCACTTAGAGAGGGTGTGCATTTATAGAGAGTAAAATATTAAGAGCTCTTATAAGTTGGGACCAGGCCCACCGTGCACTTAAAGAGAATTTATATAGTGCGTGCACTTATAGAGGGTGCACTTATAGAGGTGTCACTGTATTATGAAAATTTGCCAAATAATACTGGTTTCCGAAGAATTACACCTTGTTCAAATATAAATCCATGGAATCCTGTTGCTATGATCGATAAACATAGACCAACTAAATTAGGTGTAGATGGTTTATTATCCGGTACTATTCTTTGCTGGTTTCATATCATGCAAACTTTTGGTGAAAATCTTAAAAATTGGAATATTAATCAATCTTTACGGTATGTTATTAATTTGCTTAATAATTGATTAATAACTTTAATAACTTTAATGATAAATTTATTGATTTTATTTATAGTTATCCAATTGCTCTTGGATTTAAATTAATAGGTAGATGTCGTTCAAAAGATGATGCATTATTTATGACAACTTTATTTAATGCATTTATTGATAATTTAAACATGGATAATGTAAAAAAAGAAAAAATTAAAAATGATGATGTGAAAAATTGCATATGTGAAGAGTGGTGTATCCAATTTATTGATGCTGGTAGATTACCAATTAATGATGAACCACTGTGGACAACTAACAATTACACTGAAAGAATCAATAGAACTATTGAAGCTACATATTCTGGTAAACAAACTGTCTTAACATTTGTTGAACGTTTATATGGAGTGAAGTTGATACATGAGAATATCACAGAAGAAAATACAGGTATATTAATTTATGAAGCAGGATTAGTTACAGCTTTTAATATGCAATCAGTAGAACAGGTTGGTTTTATATTTAAGTATTCTCTCTCTTTTTTTTACTTATATAACAATTTAATTTTATTTATTTTTATTAAAATTCATAGCAAGATTTATTTCCAAAAATAACACAAGATATGCTCAGAAGGTTAAATTGTGGTAGATTGTATTTTTTATTGGGCATGGTGGAAAAATCAGATAATTCTGATTTTTATTATGTAAAGAAAAGTCATAACTGTGATGTGATATCACCATACGATCATCAGCCACTGAATTCTGAAAGTGTTATAGAAAAGTTGGGCCCGTTATTTAAACAATTAAATAAGAATTATAACATTCAAGAACGTCACGATTATTATATAGCAAATATTTTAACTTGTGAATGTTTTAATTGTTTTGACTTTATTTGGAATGGATCATTTCGTAATGTATGCAAGCATTGCCATGCCGCAAGAATTTTTATAACATCACTTCAAAACCATGATAATGTAATAAAAGATACAAAAGAAAAATTAGTAGCTTATTTCAAAAATAAGCAAAGAGTTTTACCACCAGAGCTCAAGAATTATAATATTTATCAAGGAGATATTGAGGTAGCTTTTCAAGAAATTGTCAAAGAATATAATGAAAAAGGTAATTAAATATTTAATAATTTAAAATTTAAATTATCATCTAATTAATATATTCTTTTTTATCAAGGAAATATGATTTTTTTTACCACAATTGATCAAGATTGTAAAGTTGAGATTGATCCTTTCCGTCCAAATGAGTTGAGTCAAAGAAATTTGAACCCTTTAACAGGAGCTCCTCCAAAACCTGCTGCAAACCGCCGCAAACCAAGTAGAATACTTCGAGAAAATAATACAGTACTGAACACACCGTCTATTGCAAAACGAAAAACTGATCAAATTCACAAAGTAAAACGTGGTACATTATAATTCAACTACTTTACTACCTTCAATGCATCCTTCAATGATTACACATCTACCTCATTCTACCACACATTTCCTTTCAATATATAATTCAAATACATATTTTCCTTCACACCTGCCTTCAACACACCCTTCAACACACGCGTCCTTAACATACCCTTCAATACGCTCGCCTTCAACATACCCGCCTTCAACATACCCGCCTTTAAGTTATAATACAAATATAGATTCTTCAGTGTATTTCTCAAATACACAATCTTATTTTGATAATTTTACTAATTAATTTTTGTCTTAATACTTCCTTTACATTTACGAAATGGAGCAAAGGGGAATAAAAAGAATAAAAGTAGTGTAAAGGAATAAAAAAGATGAAGTGGGAAATAAAATGAAAGGAATGAAGAGAAGTGTAAAGGAACAAAAGAGACGAAGTGGGAACAAAAAAAAAATGAAAGGAACGAAGAGAAAATAAAGAACAACGGAAAAAACGAAGGAAGGAAAGAATAAAAAAAGCAAAAAAATGAAAAAATGAAGAGACGAAAAAAGAACAAAAAATGGAGAAGGTAAACAGAGGACCACAAACCCATAAATAAAAGAAGAAATAAAGTTAGTAGGAAACGGAAATTACATGTAATAAATAAACGAAAACAAAAAAAAATAAAAAACATACCTTAGTAGTTGCAGAGAAGAACTGAAAGATCTAAAAGAGTGAAATCCAAAATGTAAGAAACGAAATATAAGAATGAAATAAAAAATAAGAAACGGCTATATAGTAGTGCTGGACATATATACCTTAATTGCAAAACCGAAAGAACTAAAGGACCTAAAAAAACGAAATAAAGTTAGTAGTAAACAAAATGCAAGAAGGAAAACGTACCTTGAGTGCGTGCCGTGCAAAGGACTAAAGAAAAAAAAGACATTTAATAAAGAATTTTTCCAACTATCACCGGAGGTGATGATCACCAGTGACTGAAATTATGATGATCGACCAGCATTAAAAAAATATAGTGCCGGTAAAAATTGATAATTCTGGCCAACGGTGATGATCACCCCCGGTGATTTGAATAATAAAATAATAAATAATAAATAACATAAAAATATAGTATATTAAATAAATTTATTTAGATTAATATTTATTACATTTATATATATATATGCCATTTTTACTGGTTTTTTATTAGTAGACTTCTATATACCTTTTCACCACACAGCATTTGCTTTTCTTTTAATATACAAATTGATGGCAACTTGTAAATAAAAAAGATTTTAAGAAAAAATTATATTTTATAACAATCAAATAAATAACAGAGATTTTTACCTAAGACAACAGTAAACTGCTTTATTGTATTATATCGAATCTTTTTTTTTGGAGGTAATCAAATTTTAGATACAGAAATTGATATAAAATTATAGAAACATTATAGGCATGCGCAAAGATAGTGAAAAATTTAGCATAAACTAGAGATCTGCAAATTATAAATTAAAGTGCTGCCGGTGGTGTTCCGGGTATCGGTAACAATGTAAAGCAAATACTAAAAGTGATATTGCGTGGTTAAAGGTAAAGTGAAAAAGATGTATTTTACATAATAATCGTAAGAGCCAATAATAGAGAAAAAATATGTAAAATTGTGATTATAGAAGTTTAAAAATTAAAAAATCGTGCTGTTTTTCTTGCTTTTCTTGCTTTTCTTGCTTTTCTTTTTTTTACTTTTGTTCTTGTCCGGGATTTCTTTATAGACTCCCTCAAGTTTCCAGGGTTTCTTATCATCCGCACGTTTAAAATCATGTGTAGTACGTTCAGCTTCAGTATCTGTAAGAGAGAAGAAAAGTTAATACAAAATTATGTTAAAAAAATAAGATTTGTACACATACAATACTCCCATTCAAAAACAACCCCATCTTCATCAACATCCCATGCCACCTCGCCAGTCCAGGGTTTTGTTGCCACCTCTTCCAAAGAATTCCCAAGTGGCCACAGTGCATCAGACATCCTGTCTAACTCAAAAACTCGACCATAGCAATCTAAAAACGTTATTCCATATTCTCGCTTCCCAACAAGTATGATATGGTTAAAACCAAAATTTCGAACATCGTAAAGATCTTCTCCATAACCCGCTTTTACCTTCATACATTCAGTAAGATTTGATACTTCACAGGGCCCTTGATGAACAGATTTTGCAAGTTGGTGACGGTTGGATTCACTCGCAATAATCTCGATTATCATGGATGAATTGTTGCAACATTCATGACTCTCTGACACATTATGTAAAGGTATTTCAGTACAATCTCTTCCAATTCTATAGCATGGCTGTACAAATCGGCATGATGTCCATTTTGTCCCTTCATCGCTTCCCACGACACCGATCCTGCATAATTTCCCCATAGATGCTTGCATAGACTCAATTCTTGCTCTATTAGGGCACGATTTACCCCTTGAAATATCATCATATTCTCCGACCTCATCTTTGCTATCTCCGCTTTTATTTCTTTTACATTTAATCTCGTTATTTCTGGCAGTTTCGCTAGTGATAGGCAAACTGAAGCTCTGGGCCTGAATCTCTTTATTTTGTTGTATGTAAGGTTTATCATAAATGGATGGAATGCTTTTCTTAGTTCTATCTTCATGAACTGTCTCTTCAGAACTACCAGGTTTCGTAAGAGATATTCCCTTTGTCTCTCGAGAGTTACTTTCTTGATGAGAAGTTTGACATAGAAGTTCCATAGGAAATAAAGCGCGTCCGAGCTCATATATATCATTTTCTTTACTTTTTTGCCATTTACTTTCTTCACTTCGATTGGTAAAGTGCTGCGGAAAATAGGATTGAGAAAATCTTGTTTCATTCATCTTTTGGGAACCAAGCAGAAAAACTATTATTGGTGCAAAATCAGATTAGCGGTTGGTAAACGCCATGTCGTCACATGCTACTCACTTTTTTTCCTGAGAATCGATAAAGAAAAAAATATAAAATATTCTGTCAGTTCTTTCAATAAGGAAAGTAAGGAGTTAAATAAACGAGAAATCTTGGAAAGTAAAGAGTTTAATAAATGAGAAATCTTGGTCACTTTTTCATATCATTTAATATCATTTGATGTCATTTGATAAAATCCACGCATCCCGCGCGGTTTTTTGTGTCACTGGGGGTAACAAATAAATTTTTGACACAAAAAAAACTAAGTCCCTCAGATACTTAATGTTTTTGAACTCGTGACTGCACGTGATCAGGTGACACTTAAATGTCACTTGGTTACTATTTGGTATGATGCGTCAAATCGGCCCATATGCAAAACTTGCGTGCAAAATCCACTTATTGGTTTATTTTCACGTGATGATCAACATTCACTGGCCAATAAAATTTCAACTAAAAATTTTTTTTTATTACAATACGTTCAGAAAATTAGTGAAGAGAATTTGATTTGTAAACTAAAAATATTATTATTAGTAAAAAATTTAATACAATACTTTTAATGTTTTTAAACATTATCCAAGATTCTTTTTTTAAAATCGGTCTCAACTTTTTTTGATTTATAACTTCAAGTTCACAACTATCTTCATTCATTTCTTCATTAATATCCGATTCTATTTGAGTTTCTTCTAAGTGCAATCTCTGATTATATGGTTTTGTTAATTTATCAATAAATTTATCTAAGTATTTATAGCAATGTTCACACTTTAAACCTAAACATTCTTCATGATATGCATGTCCACATATCAAAACTTCACCTCTTTATTTGTTGAATTTCTGCAAAAGTTTTTATCACAAAACTTTTTCATATTTGGAGGTACAGGAAAATGGTATCCAAGAGGTAAAGCACCCAAAGGAAAACTTATAGGAATGGATGTAAAATAATAATGAGGTTTTTTGTTTCTTTTTCTCTCCATTTTTTTTCTACTTTTCCATTATTTTTCCAGATCTCATCAAAAAAGTCCAATAAAAAAAGAGCAGTTCTTTTAATCATTTCATTTAAATCTTTTTTTTTTATATGGGTAGTCTCTTTTTGGGTACGAATGATGTAGCAAATAAATTTTCATTTTGAAAATTATCAATAAATAGAGCATCACGTCTAAAGGATTTACTTGAAGAAACTTTTGCTGTGGTATGTCTTCATAAAAGACTGTTAAAATTTTCAATAACATACTTATCAAATTATTTTTTAAGGTTTTGATGATAGGATGGTTAATTGATTGCCAATAATACACATCAAACAAAAAGGCAAGAAGAATTTTATCATAATTATGTCTTTGGAACCTTCTCATCATACACCATAGATGAAATATTGTATCAACATATTCATCAAATTTATTATTTCGAAAAAGAACCGTATAGATATTCAGGATTGCTGGAATAAGATTATCAAGTAAATCAAAAAACATTATATATCCAAATAATTTTTGTATTGCCAAACCTTTCTACTATAATATTCTTTATAAGTTTCCATCCGGAACTTGCTAGATACATTAATAAATTAATTCTCCAAGGTTTTGGCTTAGCCGCAAGTTTTTTTTAGCATCAAAAATTGTTAAACAAAGCTGATTAAAAAATAACCAAAAACAAGAAAGACTGATTCACAACTGTTAAGCAAAACATGTAATAGACCAAATATATATATATATATATATATATAGAATGGGAATTAGATGTGCAATATTATTTGATATTGATGCATTATTATCAGATTTTAAAATGCTAACAATAGGAAAATCTGCAGGAATAGAAATGATATACTGTTTTAAATAGGATTTTATTTTGGGTAGTCTTTAAAAAAAAAAATTATTGTAAGTAATTTATAATTATAAATAAGTTACATAATTATATACTCAATAAAAGATTAAATTGCTTCAACATAATTATTGATATTTTTTAATGATAATTCTAGTAAATCAACAAGTTTTGTCTAATCAAATTTTCAGCCATATCTCTTCCATAAGTCTGCATTATATGAATGTATAGTTAATGATTCTATTAATTCTCCTTTATAATAGTTATTCTAATTAAATTTAACCAAATTATAACTTTTACCTAAAGAAATAAGATGTGTGGACAAAAGTGCTATATATCTTAATAATAAATGCATCTACATAACTACACCATTTGGATTATGTATAGATAAATAGTTACAAGTATAATAGAAGATTCACAGGTCGAAAAGTAAAAAATCAGGCATCAATCAGTCACCAATCAGGCAGTTTGCTAACTTTTGATCCAGTAATCAGAGTGATCAGAAAAAGATGAAATATAGCTCATTGGAATCGTCTCAACAAGACGAATCTAATGGTAGTAAAATCGCATCTCTAGGATTAATAGTTAATAAAAAATTAAATAAAATATAATTGATACATTTTTATTTTTATATTTTACTTAATTTCTCATCAAGTATTAATCCTAGAAATGCAATTTTACTACCATTAGATTCGTCTTGTTGAGATGATTCCAATGAGCTATATTTCATCTTTTTCTGATCACTGGATCAAAAGTTAGCAAACTGCCTGATTGGTAACGGTATTTGGCGAAAATGCCAATCAGTCATCAATCAGCTACCTGATTGGTGACTGATTGGTGACTGATTTTTCACTTTTCGACCTGTGTAATTATTCACAGATTTTTAATTTGTATGTAATAAATGCAATTTTTTTTGAAAAATATCATTTATTATATAAAAATATGAACAATTTAATATTTTATGTAGTTGAAAATAAAATGTTTATTTTATATTAATATTATCAAAATATACAATTTACCAACCTGATACATAGTTTAAATTTTCATGTTTTTTCTTTCTTTTCAATTCTTTATTAATCCAATTTTTAATTGCTGTTAATGTTTTATCACATTTAGGTATATCAATACTATTGTACATATAAAATACCATTGATTGATTAAAACCAATATCATCAAGTGAAATATCCCTTATTTCTCAAGCTATTCTATTTTGACTTGGAACATCAAGGGTTTTTCTATAATCTAAAATTATTTTAATTCTTTGATTCTTTGCTTGTAAAAACTCATGTTCTTATTGTTTATTTAATTTATTTAAGTATTATTTGATTTATAAACAATGGATAAAATTGTTAAATTTGTTATTTTAATATGCTTTAAAATATTAAAAAAGTTAATTTGTTATTTCATTTTGTTATATTTCTCCAAATATTATTATCTTTTCTTACGATCTATTTTTTGAACGATTAAATTATCAAATTACTTGCATTAATAATAGTTTTACAAAAAAAATTTAATTGAAAAAATATTAATTATTTTTTAATCATTCTCTTATTAGTTATTATATATAATATCAGATTCTTATAAAATAACTGACATTTTTCTTGTTATTATATAATATACAGTATTTTTTTATGAAATATTTGATAAAAATTTATAGTTGATTTATTATCTAACACGTTATAGTTAAAAAGATAATCACTTGGGTCCTGTGATCACCAGACATTGAAGATAGGACCTTTATGGCTAAGATGACCTGTTACTAAAGATACTACCGATATGACGAGTGGTTTGTAGTTTAATTATATTAGAGTAGTTATTAGGGAATTTTACTTTGTAGATCTTAATTTGTTACACTCAAATTTTTATATATTTTCTTTATTTTTTACTTTAATAAAACTGCAAATGCGCTGCAGAAAAAAAAAAAAAAATAATNGATAACGATTATTGGATTTTAATACTTTTTCTTAAATTTATTGAGATAAGAAAAATTAATATATAAATAAAATTACATATAAATAAAATACGATAAGTTTATTATATTATTTCGTTGCACCAAAAAAAAAAAGAATTATTATTTATTTATTTATTATAATTTTTTGTGAACTTTATGATTATCTCAATCGAATGATTTTTTTTTTATCATTTAGGCTGGATTTGGATAAAAGTAAAAATTTTTTTTAGGTTTCAACTAATTTAGATTGGATACACAAAAAAAAAATACTTTACCACATTTTTATTTTTTTTTCTTATCCAAAGTTACATGTAATTTCTTTCATTTAAATGATTTGCAAAGAATTTTCGAAACAAAAAGGGACACGTATTTGTAGATCAATAATAATTATTATAACTGATATTATTTTATAACTTAGTTTAATAATTTTTTTTTTTTTCATTCTGTAAACTAAGAAAAAAAAAAAAGAATAAATAATAAATAAAACCCCTACCGATTTAAATGTTAATCAAAAAGATAAAAAACGTGAAAAATTCATTATTTTTTATTGGATAATTAATTTGTCGATCTCATGATATGATCCTACCTATTGATAATATTTTTCATTGAAACCTCGATCAATACGAATGTATTAATATATATATTTTTTAAATAATAATAATAAAATTTATTTTATATTTTAACTCTTACACTACTTCTTCATGACAATCTCTTTTTTTACTGTAAAAAATTTCTATTACAGTATTTCCTTTATACAATAAAAACTGAAAAAACCTTATAGATAAAGGTCTATTAATTCTGAAAGAAGGTTGAATAATTTTATAATTATTCAAATTTTTTTATATTAAATATAATTAATAATTTATTTTTTTTAAAAAAAAAAAATCAATAATATATTATTTTTTAAAAAATAGGAAAAATAATAATTACAATAATTACAAATAAATTATCCAAAGAATATAAATAATATTATTATTATTAATATAAAATAAAATTATAAATCTACAGATTTTAAATTTTATTATAAAAAATAAATTAATGCATTTTTTTAATATATATATACTTTTTTTAGTTGCAATGCATTTACAAATTTATTAGAATTAAAAAAAAACAGAAAGAAGTACATTAAGTAAATAACTATTTATAAAACTCTAATACATAAACTATCCATCATTTCAAAAAATTTCATATGTATACTGTTAAATAGCCAATTTGCTATACAGGTAAAGTTGTTTGAAACAGCCTATCTTAGCAATTATCCTATCATCTTTGCAAAGTCAATCATAAGAGTAATAAGACCTACTATACTATATTTATGTAGATTTTTATTAAAAAAAAATAACCAAATACTCCTAATCTTGAAAATGTTAATCAATCTCACTTCACATAAAATCCATTTATTTGGTATACTTCAAAAAGTGATTTGCATAAACTTTCTTATCTAATACGAAAAAGATTAAAAAGAGGAAAGATAATCAAATATTTACAGCTTATTAAGAATTTATTGGTCATGAAATTTAAAAATGTAAGATTTGCAATTGATAATTTATTATAATACCTACCATTTACTAGAAGATTCTAAAACTGGTCACAAAAGTAAAAGAAATAATATTGTTGTTAAAGATTTAAAATGAAGATCTTCTACAATAAATATTTCTTTTTATTTTATCATTTTTAATTTTACTATTTTCAGTTTAACTATTTTTAATTTTACTAATTATTTTAACTATACTAACTATTTTTAATTTTAAGCTATGTTTATTAAAAGGTATTGTAGATAGCATTATACAGTACAACTTTATACTTTTACATAGCTGTAATTATGCAACTATTTGGAAAATAGTTGAATATTAACTTTATATAACGTGTATTTATTCAATTATAATATAATAAAATATTAATTATTAAAGTAATGCTTATAGTTTATTTGAAAGTTAATTAATATTTAATAATAAATATGTTTATCTAAATTTTAATATAAAATTAAAAAGTGATAAAATTAAGGTAAACTATTACAGTTTGAAAAATATAAATAAAAGATAATAAAAAAAATATTTTAAAAGTAAAAAGTAAAGTTATTAAAAAAAAAATATAAGGAATTTATTAATAAATAATAAATATTATTACAGTACAAGTTTACTGAAAAAAATAATAATCAATATTATAAAAAGAGAATTAAATACTAATGGGTATTTTTAAAAATCTGTATTCAATTGAAAAAAATTAGTAATAAGGTTTATAATAAGTACTTACAAGAGAAAAAAGTTTTAAAATACCTTTAAATTAGATAAAATAGGATTAAATAAGACTCATTATTATAATAAGTAAAAGAAAGATAACTAGAATTTTAGGCATTTAATATAGAACTTATAACTGATTTTTTACCAAAATTAACTTAATTTACTTTTTTTTATTTTCATTTTTTTAGCATTTAATAATTCAATTTAAATGAACTTTTTTATTTTATAAAACTTAATATTAGCTATAAATTAAATAATAATTTATTAAAATCAAATTACTGAATACTAAAAAAATTGCAAAAAACAGATTTTTAAAAAAATTAAAAAAGAATCAATTTGCTTTAAATTACTAGTCTCTATAAAAAGTATTTTTATTAGAATATATTTAAAATATATTTAAAAGAATTTTTCTAATTATTACCAAAGTAATAATTACCTGTAACTGATATTATAATGATTAACTAGCATTAAAAAAATATAGTGCCAGTAAAAATTAATAATTCTAATCAATAGTAATAATTACTTCAGTAAAAATATATTTAAAATATATATATATATTTTTATTTTATAGTATGTCTGATGGAAACTTTATTGAAATTGCAATGGTATAAGATTATAAATACAGTCAACTCTTTTTATAGTCACACATTTGGAATAGTCTATATTTGGTGATTATAAATAGATGTATAAAAAATTTCTTATATTTGTATATCATAATTCCAGCCAAAAATTAACATAA